TAACCTCCATTCACGACGCGAATGTTACCACAAGAACTGAATTTTACCCAAAACACTTTGTCTATGATTGAGCATCCTCGTGACAACTGTACCAACTGAAGCTGCGCCCTGCCCACAACTAAGCATTGCTATGTAATGGTCAACGTTGATCGATTTCTCTGGGATGCGCCGTACACTCGAAGTGCATCAAAAACTGCGGAACACTCAAAGCCAAACTCACAAACACCCGAAATCGAAAATTATGAATTTCAACAGAGAATAGCACCTATAATCGACCTTTGAAAATTACGAAGTTTGATTGATATTCGAAGAGGTTGAAAGTTGCAGGAAGACGACTACGGCTACTGCGCCACACCTCAATTCGTACCACTGTTCTGTCCAAGTGGGTGAAAAACGCAAAAATTGTTGATACTCCGATAAAGTAGTGGTCAAGCATTTAAAAAGACTCAAAAGTAAGCTCGAAATCCGAAAAAATCCCGTCAACCGTCAGGTCTAAGGGCATTTATAACCCTTGGAGCGGATTTTTCAAATGAAGGAATAATGTACGAAAATTTGTTTCGATGAGCACTTTTCGAACACAAAAACTGAGCGCATTCTAGGGTGAGCCATGAATGCACCACCTCTCTGTCTTCAATAGACTTATAGCAACGCACTATGTCGGAGCCCGAAAAGACCAACCCGAAATCCTTATGCGGACCAAAAACAACTGTCTGCAGATGGATCAGAACCAAAAAGTAGCAATCCCTTTTCCTTCTGATGACCTCATAGAAAAATTGGTGACTGGACAATCGTTACCACGTGCCACTTTTCGAGGAAGAACGTCTTTAAGAGTCTCCGGTTCGATTTCAGATACCAAGACAACATATCATTCACAACCACAGCAACAGGTTGTCACGCTTCACTGGAACTGAAACACACAGAGGTCGGCAAAACTCGTGAACTGCTTCACGAGATTTCTTCGAGTACGGTCGCCCTTTGGCACAAGATCTCAGAACTTCAGCATTTCGTCATCGATTTCTTCTCGACGAACCAGATGTTAGCATCGGCTGGGCATACTGTTTTCGGGCTTCATAGTAATTGGTGCGATTTCGCGTTCCGTCAATACATACATGCTTACTGTCACTTAAGGTTCTCTGGAAAAGACTGCACCAAAAGAACTTGAAGAACCACCACAGCCAACTGATGTTTCTTTATTCAGTACCTCTCCCCTTACCATTAGAAGGTACCGTAACCCGAAACGTTGGCCCGAACAAACACAGAAGAAATTAGATGGAAGACTAGCTACAAATCATAAATGTAAAAAAAACAGAAAATGGTCAACTTTATTTATTACCTCCAGTAGCGAAAGCTTGACAAGACAATCCCGAGCTCCCAAAACACTTCCCCATAGACCAGAAAGCCTATTTCGATGCCCTTCACTTCATAAGCACCGCAAAGATGAAGAATTTCGTTTCCCTGACCCTTTTCAACTAGTACGCTCAAAAAATCCTATAGCCGAAAATATCAAAAAAAATCAAATAAGTGAGTGACGGAATCAGCGAAAAAATACGCTCACCCATGAGATCCATGGGCGGGGCCAACAAAAGGACAGCTGGCTTCCTCAGTGCGAGGCATGTCGCGTCGTTGAACGACGGCATCTTAGCCCTAGCGAACCTCCACTATCTTTATCGACAAATCCCATCATGTATCGACTTTTACCTATATTATCATTACTGCTCTTCACCACATTACTCAGTGAAACTTCAGGTAAGCTTACAGGTCGCTATCACCATTTTTATACAGTTTCTAGCTTACACCACCTAGGCCAACTGACCTCAGTTCAGTTTTCTCAGAGCGATATCCAAGAAAACCTTTCAAAACCTTTTCAGCAAGCTTAACATTGCTGATCACTGGACACAGCGGCGTTAATGTCGACAAACAGCAACTGGCCAGACAATTCGTCGCCTCTTACGATGAAATCATCAAAGGTAAACAATCATCGACTTGATTTCAGATCGATTCTCAATCTGCCTGTAGGTCCTTGTGTCCTAATCGATACAGCTTCACCGTTTCGCATTCGGCTAAGCGTATCCATCCACCACACTCCACATATCCATTTCATCCTAACAACATATGTTTGTGCATCTCATCGATCAATTGCCCAAGCCTACGAGCTGTTGATTTTCCAACAGTTGCTCCCTGTAAAACTTGGCAGAAAACGCAAAGCTAGCTGTAATCAATGACACCCGCAAAGTGAAATAGGGTAGGCACTTTTCCGTCACGAGCCCCAACAACGCCTCTCAGCCAGACATCTGCAATTGCAAAGGATCAAGTGTAATTTTGTGAGCTGACGCACACACATAGTGTGAGATTTTCAGACGACTCGCGTTGACGAGCAATGTGCCCGCCGCGGCTCACAAAAATTCACTGCTGCTTGTCCATCGTGGGGACAACCCAAACTTGCACAGCGAATTTCTCGACAGAAACCCGTCAAATTGAAAAAGCACTGCATATCGCTCATCCATATCGTGAATCATACGACGGAAGGTGGTACAATGGCAAATGGCGCCACTTACCTGCGCGCAGTCAGGGGTCGAATCTTGCAATGTCTATGAGAACCTCATACCTCTGAAGCTTGAGTAAGATTTGCCTAAGAAAGTCATAAGAATGAACTAGATTGCGAGCCGCATCCAAAGGGGGTTAATTGGGAAAATCGTTTTTTTCAAACGTCAGCCAATCTAGATCGAGGATGCCGAGATCATTTGGCCGCTCGACACAACAGAACTTTCAAAGGAACAGTTTTATGGGTCCTACCAGAAGAAGAGTCCAGCACATAACCCTGATGGGTAACCAGTCACTGAAGCAATTCACATTCAAGCACCAAATTTGGGTTGCTGACAAAATATCGACTCGCTTAAGATGTTAAACTCCACATTTCGTCTACAAAACTCGAATTCGAGATGTCCCAGGACGTGAGGCTGAGACCACGATTCCAGAGAACACTCTTTCGTCTTGATTAGGCGAAAACCAACAAAACCCACATTTGATTGGTGCGTTGCTGTTCCCCTCCTCAGGCCATCTCACCTAACCCTAAGCCTAAACCCAAGTCCAACCAATGTAAGCCTAAACCTAACCCTAAGCTTAAACCCATGTTCAGCCTCAGCCTTCAATGATCGCGCAGCTCGAGTGACTTGACCTCAAGAAGAGAACGGGTCTCTCCTATTTGATTTGAGTGGAAATTCTTCAGAAGTTTCTGAACCCCGATTTTCCATTTGTGAAACGTTATCAGTTAACAGGGAATTCTCAGGAATGAGAAAAAAGTGCAAAAATCGACCACTGCCTTTATTTATCTTTTTTTAGAACTTCCTCTTCTACTCTCTATAAATCTGACGAAGTATAACCACTTAATGAGGCCCTTTCCAGGGTCACCACCAAAACTATTCGTATTCACGAACGGTGTCGCTGTACCAGTAGCTGTGGAAGAACGACAGGTGCACGGAATATGGGACGACGTAAACCTAGCGGGCAATGTGACCACGGTTATCGTTACCAATCTCAGCTTCAACGAGATGAATTCCGATCAGCTTATCATCATGCAAAGATTGATAAAGACTACCGCTCCACTAGTCGTCGTTGAATTCGGTCAGTTCTTTTTCCCACTTCTATTAGTTGTAAACGGATCCATTTTCGATGATGACAAAAAAGTTACTGCACAATAGTTGGGAAACTCGGACAAGCCTGCCCTCGGCCCAGGATAAATGATCGTTGGAATCACATTTTCTCCACCAGTGAATCTCTGCTAGGTTTTCTCTAGGGTCCAGAAAAATACCGAGAATTGATGAACTCGATTCCTAGCAAGTAAAAACAAACCCTGCAGACGAATTGAGGCAATCCTATTCAACTATCTGATTGCGAGAACGAATAGGAAGTGCCTCTTCCTCAGCACGTCAGCAAAGCCCATGTTATTCAGAAAAGAGCAGCAACAAGCACCCGAAAATATCACCAGGGTATTCGAGTTTTCACAATCCAACCAAGAAAGGCCAGACAAGAGTTAAAATGTGTAGTATCCTTGATTATTTCTTCCTTGGCGCTGATTTTTCTCCACCTTTCGAGTAATCTAAAAGAGGTCTTCAAATCTGACAGCAGTTTACACACACATGTTGACGGGAAAAACGTCGCGGCAGGGCAGTTGCATTAGTTTCGGAAAATGGAGGTCCTTTGCAGATCGATGCATTCCTTTTGCCGATCTACCGTTCAAATTTTGACGTTACTCGACTCTTTATACCCAGTAGTAAAACTATTTGTTACATGGATTAGCCTGTGAGTTGATCAATGGGCAGACAGTCCCAATCCCCCCCCCCCCGTCCCGAAAAGGCACCTGCTTACAGCATTTCTGACAATGGGTGCCTCTGCCACCTTTTACAAGGCTGATTATGTTGGCGAAGGTCTCTTACTAATCTAGCAGACTGCTAAAGCTTTCAGCTCCTCCAACGCAACTGACCCGCCGAAGCCGCTGTCTTTGCTCGAACTTAGAAAAGACTCCGAAGCAAACAACCTGAGACCTCAAACTATCCTGAAGAAAGGCTTTTTAGGGAACCGGAGCAACGAAACACGAGATCTGCTTGACGAGGCCGCCATATGCCTGCTAAGTGGTCGTATAGCAAACGCTTCTCCAAACGTGGTCTACTTTTGCAACAATGCCGCTCCAGCGATGTTTTCGAATCTTCAAATCGAAAATCTTCACGAAATCACACCTTCCGAGCTGAACAATAAGCCATCAGATTTACATCGACCGACTTTCTGGCCATGGTTTTTCGTTTCGGCAGTAAAAGAACACCGACATTACGAACATCATCACCATCACCATCACGGCGATCCTCATCATCACCACCACCATGGCGATTACCAACACTATCGCAGACATCATGTGAGTTCCACGCTTTCCGTCTTCCTAGTTAAACTCATATTTCCAGCTTTCTAACAGCTTTGCAGCCTATTTCATAACAGAGAACATCCACTCAATTAATTTTCTCGAGAATCGATCAATAAGCGTAAACTCATTCTTCCCGCAGATTAGTCGAAGGCACAGCCCAGGAAGAAGTCGTAAGAACGATTCCCTTCGGTCTGTAGGATAGAACCCTAGAGGACAATCACAGATGTGGCACTCCCGTGCATGGAAATCACCCGACAAGAGCGCTAGGGCCTTGCAAAGTAAGCTGCAGCAGCTGCAAGTTTTCAGGCTGTTGTCTGGCGCCCTCTCATCTGTTGCGCTCTCTCGCCTCATACTCTCCTCTCCGCGCTTAGTCTCTCATTCCTTAGCACAGCCGATTAGGAAGGTGAGTGAGCCCTCAACCTGAGCGTTTTTGACGGATTCTTTTCCTTTTTTCTTTACTGCCGGCCCATTTCGCACCGACGCGTTTATCTTCCTGGGCAAAAACCGCGCCAGCTTGACTCTTTGGTAAGCCTTTATCTGCAGGACCATGCGAAGACCAAAGCAAGCTATTAAAGTTTGTTCATTGGGAAAGAGGAAGTGTATGTCAGCTCACAATCAGAGACATTACATGTCCTCCGCCCACAATTGGAACCGCTTTTTCAGAGCAAATTTGGGAACTTCTTTTGACATCTCTCACCGATGAAACATTTGGGAACCATTGGAATTTTGATCGGTCACAGGGGTTCATGAGCTGCTGTTCGTAATATCCTTTCCAGTGTTCCAATTGTGACCATTTCAAACACCCTCTCCCTACCCCTTCTTTAATCCTCCGTTTCCAACCTTGGGCTTTTTTTCGGCCGCTTTGCTACCGAGTTCACTTGATTGTCCTCAAACAAATAAATAAGTAAACACATATTTGGAAATTCTGCTTACTGAATGCCAAACAGTGTTTCAATCATGCCTTTTCAGTTCGATGAAGACGTTGATGAAATCGTCGATCAAATCATGGAGGACATTGCTGAGCAACGCCCAGTTGTTACCGAGCCAGAGAAGGAACCGAATGCATACCAGAAAAAGTTGGGTTGTAAATACAGAAAGTCCTGCTATGATACTGGGGTGGTACCCGACATTGAGACCGTATTCACCCGGTTTGTAAAACGATGGTGGCCCCATTGGCTTGAGACGGAAGATGCTGAAAAGCAGGAGGACGAAACGGAAGAGGACACCGGGAAGCCGTACGACTCCGAAGAAGATCTGCTACCTCAGAAAGTACGCTGCAAGTACCGTATCTCTTGCTACCAAGAACATGGCATTCCATTCGACGAGAAGGCAGAGGAACGACGAAAAGTTTTACTATCGAGTAAACGAGTAGTTCAAAGCAAAGGACAGAAGAAAACTCTGAAGGAGATTGCCGCCCACACATTGAAGAAGGTCCAAGAGGCCGAAGAAAAGGCTGCAAAGCGTCCTGTTGTGAAGGTCGTCGAGAAACGATTGAATGCCATTGAAGAAAAGCTCAGCGAGAAGCTTAACTGTAAGTATCGTAAGAGTTGCTATGAAACCGGTCAGAAACCCGTCATCGCCGATGGCTGGTCATTACCGCTACCAATCAAAATTTTCTCAACAGAATCTGCAGAGGCTGCAACTAAAGAAATCAACTACGATGAACTGGAAGAGCTCGAGAAAAAAGTCTACTGTAAATATCGAAAGAGCTGCTATGAGACCGGTATCAGACCCGATTTTGAGCCGGAGATCTTCGTGGGTACTTTCCGCGACCTATTCACCATACATGAGCAGGTTGAGCCACGAAAGATGACAATGCAGGAGAAGTGCAAGTACCGTAAGTCCTGCTATGAAACCGGTATTGTACCCGAGATCAATCCAAAACTTGAAGAAGCAATCCACAAGGAAGTGAGCCCCGTTATACCGACGAATGCACAAGATCTGCGTCTACTCTGCAAGTACAGAAAGTCATGCTACGCTGAAATTCACGACTCGGCCACCGTGGATACGATCAAGTTTATTAGGAAAAGGCGTCAAATTGAAAAGGAAGTGCGACGACGACGAGCTAAACGAGCGAAGCTTCACCGACGCTTCCGGGGTGAGCTACAGCTTGACAGCTATCGACGGCACCATCGGCGCGATAAAACTATGGAAGAAGAGCAACCTGAGCAGAAAGAACAACAACCGGAAGAGCCGGAGGAGGTTGAAGATTTCGTGGATGTGAAGATTATACCACCGAAAAGGGGACGGAAAGAAAAGGTCAAGGAGAAACGGGAGGAAGTAGTGGAAGAGGTTCCCGTGAAGGCAACCAAATTCAGAAAAACAAAGCAGCCACAGAAAATCGAATCTGAGGAAGATGAAGCCATTGAAGAACCAGTACCAATTCCAGTGACAGAGACTGAGAAGGATGAAACGCCGCCAGCGAAAAAACTAAAAAAGGGAAAGAAGGCAAAAACCGAGGCACCGAAAGCGGAGAAACAGTTGGAGAAGGAGCAGGAGGAAGACGAAGAGAAGAAAGAAAAGAAACCCACGACACCAAAACTGCCCAAGAAAAAGGAGGTTGAACCCAAGCCAAAGGACCCTGCAGCGAAGCAGAAAAAGAAAGAAGAGAAAGAGAAGGCAAAAGAGAAACAGAAACGAGAAGATGCCGAGCAAGCAGTCTACGCAAAACAAGCCGGCAGTAAGCCGTTCGACACGGTAGCCGCGGGAGTGAGAAAAATGATGGAAGATATGCATATTCAACAGGAAGAACAAGATAAGAAGGAATATTGCAAGTACCGGAAATCGTGCTACAAAAGCGGAAAACGACCCAAAATCGATCAAACGATTCAGCACCTACTTGACAATTTCAGTGAACACGTGGATCAGGAGCTGGAAAGACGGGATGCAGAGGCTGCGACGCTCTCAAAAACTGAGCTTGGGAAGAAACTCGAATGTAAATACCGTAAGTCGTGCTATGAGACTGGTGTTTTACCCGAGATCGTTGTACCACACTATTTTTACAATGACCAGAAAATCGTTTTCAAGGCCGGTGTCTCGAAACAACTTCAGTGCAAGTACAGAAAGTCATGTTATGCAGAAACGGGTTTGTCTCCGGAAAAGGAGGACCTAAAAGATTCTGATGAGAAGCGCGAGCCTGCAAAAGTCGCTGGACAGCAGGCCAAGCAAGTACCCGTCTCTAAGGATAGCCGTGAAGACAAAGAAGGTGCCAGAAGGTCAATCAGAACCGCGCAAACTGGCACTGGTCCAGCAGCTCGTACAACCGACAAAGAAACGCAGGATGTTGAGTGTAAGTCTGGTGGTAAATCATGTTATACTTCAGCAGAGCCGCAAACGATGAACGAGGATCACGCCGGCAGTATGGCTCGGATAGGACTGGAGCGTTATAGGAAAGATGGATGGTGTAATAAATACTATTACTCATGTCGTGCGATACTTGGCTTACCGCCAAAGGAACGAGCTCCTATCGGACCTAATGGCAAACGTCTGTGCCGCAAAAAACCGCTGTGATTCGTCCCCTATTTGCGTATTTGTAGTGAAATACGAGCTGATTTTCGCTCCATAATGACTAGTTCGTTGAATATTTGTCATCGCTTTGCAGAATTTCACAGAATTTTTGCTTGCGCAGAAATAAATATTCCGCTTCAAATAGTATTGTGATAAGAGTTGATAAAGCAAAAGCAACTTCTCAGAGAGATGTGAACTTAAATAAAGTGGTTATAGAAGAGAATGCTTGGAAAAGTCAAGTAATCAAGAAGCAGTGATCTAATGATTATTAACATAGTAATGTAATTGAGCAAACCCCCATAACAGATAACCAGAAGATGGAACAAAAATGAACTTACATTTGGCTCCACTTCCTTCAACCATTCATTTGCTACATCATCGTAGTCCAATTTGCATGCAGTTGCAAGATCGGCATGAGCTTCGACCCACTTCCCAAGTAATCTGACAACAATAGCAACTTAATATGATGAATATGATCAAGTTGAAAATAAACACGATTCAAATTGAAATAAAAGTGTGGAAGTAAGTTGGACTTATCGTGAGCTGTAAAGTAGCTAAGCAGTAAAAATACAAAAAAAACCTAATCAAACTCTTGTTTCCCGAGGTGTGAAGGAAGGCACCTTTCACAGGAATAACGGGAGCAACACGGAGAGTTGGTCGTGATGCCGAGGATGATCATTACAACTCCACGATCAATCCAGTTCTAGCTCAAATACTCACGATAGGTACTATATCGTTAAACCATGCTCACAATCATCTCTCTAGCAAGCAAAAAACACAGCGAACTTGCTTCGAATTAAAAAATTGATTAGATTGGCATTACCACTTCATGGCCACGCAAGAAATATCGGGAATATGGGTTAAAATGATTACAACCATCCCAAAATTCGCGACGGGTCACAAAAATCAAGAACAAATAGGTTGAATACGAAGTAAATCAAGGAGAAATGACAGCACTATCGTGAGATGCGGGGGCATTAAGCCTAGGAGAGAACAGTAATTTTGGACAAAATAAAAACTGTTCACACATTCTGGAGTCCCTCTTTCCCTGCCTACGGATTTGTCCCGATTTTGCAAATAAGAGATGTTTTATGCGGTATTAAATGCATTGCCACCACTAAGCTACCACATCTTGCAATAGCGCCAGAACCACTATTAATATCTTCAGTCTACTGGATCTAGAAAAAAACTTTAATATGACTTTTTGTTTGTTAAATAAGTCGACCAAGCGCAGAAAAGTTGTTTCGACAAGGCAAACAATCCTCATCATACCTCCTAACACAGGAACTTCGACCGCAACCTCTTCATTTTTGACTCTACGAAACACGCAAGGGAAAACGTTGCTAAAGGGAGGAGGAGAATACGTAGGATAACCCGTGATCGCACCCAATGCTAACCATCTATTCAATAATCAGGCAATTTTTTCCCACTGTGATGTTCATGCACTGTTTGTGCAAGAAAAATGCGACAAGCGGCCTAATTGCTGCATTTTGGAGAAGCAAAGCTGTTGAGAACATTTTAGGTG